TAAGAAACTTATCTTGCTTCCTCTGTCTTTTTTAGCAATTGTGATACTTGCCAAGCATTAACTTGCTTCAGCCCTGTTTTTCTGTGAATTTGTACTGATCCATTTCCACGGCAGTTCCCTTCCTGTCTTTTTGATCCTTTCAGTTTTTGTTTGAACTAAGATTTTTAGTTTAACTAAATTTTAGTTAATACATTTTCAATTTACTTACCTGAGAGGTGAAAACAAGGAACTTATTAAAATGACTCCTATTTTCTCAAGCAACCAACAATGAAAGAAATGAGGAGTAAAGCTAAAAATGTAAAAGTTTTTCAGCTTAGCTAAAAAGAATTCCAGTATGGCAAACACAAAAATATTTTTTTATATTAAAAGTGTTTTAGACACTTTATCTAGGTTATAATTGAGGGAAGCATTGTTTGAAGGGTTGTGAGAATTATATGTATATCTTCCTTTTGCCTTTTCCACAGCCTTTCTTTTCCCCAAATTATTATTGAATGGGTTGAAGGCAGCCTATTTTTTACGAAACGTCGGTGAGGAATGCAATTCATATTTTAACACTGTGTGCATCCCTGAATCAATGCACGGGCTGAACAACACCAGGTCTCTCAGCCTCACCTTGTAGGCTCCAGCCCCTTAATATCTTACTGGCCCTTCGCTGGACTCCCTCCAGGATGTCCTCATCTCTCTTGCGCTGGACACAGCGCTCCAGGTGTGGTCTCACCAGTGCTGCGTAGAGGGGAAGGCTCACCTCCCTCGATCTGCTGGTGACTGGTGTGCCTGCGTCTGGCTGGCCTTTCCACCTTCGCAGATCTGCCGGGTGTCCCCTCACCTTGCTCTTCCCTGCCAGCTCACATTCGCTGCAGAAAACAGCCAGGCGCCACGCCACAGCCTTGCTGCTGGCTCTGCAGAGAGTGCGGATGGAGAGCAGAAATCTTAGCTTCTCGCCTTCTTCCTGACTGTTGTGAGAGTGAGAAACAGCGTGAGAGACAGGCCAGCAGGACCAGACCACCGAGGGGTTGCGGTGATGTGCTGGGATGGCTGGAGGGGAGCAGCTCTGCAAAACCAGCAGCCCTCCAAGAGCCCGGCAGCAGGCCCCAGGACACCTGGCCAGGGCACAGCCTGAACGGCAACGTCCACGGTTACCCTTCCTCTGCTTGTGAGAAAAGTCTAGATGCACTTCAGCATTTCCTCCCTCTCTCTCCACAACTCCAGGCAGCTGGAGGCAGACGAACCTGGAGAGCTGATAAAGGAGAGCAGGGACTGCTGGCAGGAGGCAGGGGAGATTGAAGAGCTGTGCCCTCTGTCCGGCCACGTGCCTGCTCTCATGGACATAGCAAGCCCTAGGTCGGGGCTGTGAGACGAGGCACTGACGCACAGTCTCCTCTATGCTTGTCAGGGTTAGAAGGTGCCCAACAGATGGGATGTGATGCTGGAGCACAGTGAGGCAGGGGAAAGCTCCAAGCACTCTGGGGTTACAAACTTGCTCGTAGATGGGCAGGGAAGGTCCTCATGCTGCAGCATCGCTGCCTCCTGCCAGCTGCGCTGCCTCTTGCTGCAGCTCGCAGAGCAGGACCTGGGGCCCCTCTGCTTCTCTCCCTCCTTGGGTGACAGCATGCCACGCCTGGCAGTCTAGGGCAACCTGTTTGCCCTCCAGGGCGTCTCAAGGCCCTCTATTTGCTCTCTTACCCCCTCCTGCCCCTCAAGACCCCTTCTTTTGCCCTCTGGGCTATCCCAGAGCTCCGTGTCTACCCTCCAGCGTGCCCCAAGGACCTTCCTTTGCTTCATTTTTCAACTCAGGACCCCTGCTTCCCTTTCAGTGCACCCTGGGGCCTGGTTTGCTCCCCGATGAGCCTCAGAGCTCTCCCTTTGTTGTCTGGTGTGACCCCAAGACCTATATTTTCCCTCTAGCGTATTACCTCCATTTTTCCTCTGATACACTCCAGAGCCCTCTGTTCCCTTTCAGTACATCACAGGCCCCTCTGTTGGCCCTTCTGAGCACTGAGATCCCTCATTTTTCCTTTTGGTGCACCCCTGGGCTGCCTGTTTGCCCTCTGGATCCCTCCATTTGCCTTTCAGGGCACTCCAAAGTCATCTGTTTTCCCTCTGGTGCACTTCAAAGGCCTCTGAAGGACTCCTGCATGCACTAGAGGGCTAATGGAGCGGTCTTGAGGGGAACAAAGGGTAAACTGAGGGCCCGGAGGTGTACCAAAAGGCAAATAGAAGGCTCTAGGGTTGCACCAATAGGTAAAACAGAACAATCCTGAAGAGACCATTGGGTGAATAGAGGGCTCTAAAGCAGAGCAAAAGGGAAACAAAGCTCTAAGGCACACCAGAGAACAAAGGGAAGGGTCTTGAGGGCGTAAGACTCCAAATGGAGCTCTACAGCTCACCCAAAGGCACCAGGGCACAACAGACAGAAAACTGGGGGCAGGGGAGAGGATCCTGATGGGATCAGCAGGCAATGGAGGGACTTTGGTGGCACTGAAAGACAGAGAACTCTTGGGGGTACCAAAAGATGAACAGAGGGCTCCACCACACACCTGGGAGGAAGCAGAGCAGTCCTGACCAGACCAGAGGGCAAAGGGAGTGATCCTGAGGAGACAAAACACTAAATCAAGGGCTCTGAGGGTGCTGGAGGGCAAAAGGGGGGATCCTGGGGGGACCAGAGGGCAAATGGAAGGCACATGAAGGGAACCAAAGGTCTGCAGGTGCATGCAGCAGGAGGAAACTGAGCAGTTCAGGGCACAGGAGAACAGAAAGAGAGGGCCCATAGGAGCAAACAGAACCAAACTGCGGTCCCTGGGACACACAAGGATGGGAACAGAGGAAGCCCCAGATGCACACAAAGGGGAACCAAAGACTGCAGGGCACACACTGCCCTGCAAGAGCCCTTAGATGAGCTCCTTTCCAATTCGGGTGCCATCAAACAAGCTCCATTCCCCTACACAAGCACTCAGATCAGCTTCTGTACCCCTAACGGGCCTTCAAGCCAGCTCCATTCTCCTCTGACCACCCTCAGACCACCTCCATCATCCTACATATGCCATTAGATCAGCTCCATTCCCCTCTGTGCACTCAGATACTCTCCAACCCCTCTGTGTGTCCTCATAGCACCCCATTCCCCTATCCACCCCCCCCC